CAGGTTCAACAAAGGATTCGAAACTTCAAAGAGTGTGCGAGTAAAGTTAACTGCTAGTTGTCATCATTTTCGTCATCGTCGTCATAGACGATCGATAGATCGATCTATCTATCGAAAGTGTAAAAACGTTGATGGTTTACCGGTTGGTTCGAGCTTTCCTACCCCCATATATAGTATAGTAAAAAGTAAACGCTTGGAAATACTTTCCCCGTAAAAATTCAACCGTCCGGAAGTGTCGATAACGTGAGAGAGATAGTGAGAAAGAGAAAGAGAGAGGGGTTGGGGGTGGAGGGAAGAGGGTGAGATCGTTCGAGGTCAAAAAGGGCCGAGGAACGAGCTTATAGTAGTATAGGGGAAGGTTGAAAAGAATAAATAAAGGGAAGAAGAGAATGAGAGAGAGAGAAATAGTTGAAATAGCTGCGATAAAGAAAAAAACGATATATGTGAAAGTAAGTAAGAAAGATGTGTGTTATGTGAGAAAAGAATTATTTATAAGATCAAACTCTCTCTCTCTATAGTAACTCGTATTTCGTAATTTTGTTAATTATTGTCGTTATCCCATTTTTTCAAAGTTTGAAATAATAATATTTAATGATAAACATAAAATAATACACGTTATATTTAAAATACAGATTTATAGTTGAATTTAATTTCTTTTTTAATTTTATTACGTACAGATATTTAACTTAATTTTGTTATTTTTAATTTGTTTTTTTTTTTTTAATTTTATATATATTACGTATATTTAATTATTAATTAAAGATCTGACATTTAACGTGTGAATTTGAAACCAACTCCGTTTATATAGGGTTTTACTCAAATTTTTAATATTCTCTACGACTACATCATTTGATACCTTATTATTTAATTTTGTTATTGGTATAAATGTTAAATAAAGATTATTTCATTTTTTTTTTTTTTATTTCTTCCTCTCTTCTTGTTTTGTTATTCTCTCTCTCTCTCTCTCTGTCTATCTATCCCTATCTTTCTTTTTATCTCCCCTTTCTTTCATTTTTACGTTTTTCTCAGTCAGTCATCACCCATGGGTTCCCCCTTCGTTAACTTAAAATTCCATAGACGTTCTAACGGACGAGGTTGGACTATCAAGCCGTAAATTTGTTCTTTTCTTTCACGTCTGACGGATTCATTATGTAATTCGCGTAATGGGGTACGGTATGGTACGGTCTGTCTCTCTCTCTCTCTCTCTCTCTCTCTCTCTCTTTTCTTCCTTACGCCTAGTATTTCTGTGTGTCTCAATGCAACTTCGCGAAAACGCTCCTGGAATTCGATTGTTTCAAGCCGCACATAAAATCCGACAAAGGGTGCCGGTATTTCTATCCTTTATCTTTCTATTTCTCAGATCTTACCACTATAAAATGCTTAAATTCAAATACAAACAATGGTGTATCTGCACATATTTCACGTATATATTCATTTAAGTGTCTTGTCTGTATAAAACAATTAATTTATATCTAAGTTTATATATGATATATATAGTTAAAGTCCTAACAAATTTTGTATATTTTCAATTTAATCCTCTTAACAATAAATAATATATATATATTGTATATTACTCTCCTTTTGTGTTCGATATTTATGGTATCTATTGACAAGTAATTATAATGTTAAGTAAAGTAAATTTATTGATGGTGTATACATTTACAAAATTTCAAATTACAAAGTAATTTTTCAATCAATCCGGAATAGGAATGCAGATGGTGAATTGATAAATCAACAAATATTTAGCCATATTATTCGAATTTAAATTATTCTCTTCTATACATTATTTATTTGTATATATATTTTTATTAAATTCTTTTTTTGTGTATTTTTTAAATAAGTAATATAGATTTATGTTAAAATTCAATATAATATATTAACGTCGTTTTCATTTTTCGAAACTCGCGTAATGAAAAACGATATGAGAAAAAGATCGTTCTGGAAGGGTCAGTTTTTCCCTTCTTTTTTTTTCGTGAAATTTACGAAGACCCTTTTAGAACGGAGAAAACGTTGAGACATTCTTTGGCGAATAGAATTTTTTCGATCCCTCCTCGTTTCCATAATGTCAAAAAAGAAAAAAAAAAAAGAAAAGAAATTCAACAACAAAAAGGGAAAAAGAATGAAATCGAATAAAGGAAGAAGGAACTTGCTTATGATTGACTCGAACCCTTCCTGTGAACAAAAGACCAACAGACCGTTTTTACTTTTGCCTTTGTGGATTATTATTTGTAGTCTCTTCGAAAAAGCTACATGTGGAAATTCATGGGGGGCCGAAGAGAAAAAAAGAGAGAAAGATAATAAAAGAAAACTTATCGTATGGACATAGGATGTTTCTAATCTGATGGTTTCTTTCCATACAAACGGAAAGAAGATAAATTTGTATGGAAAAAAAAAAAATATGTTCAAACGACATTTTAGAGAAGAAAACTCAATTTTAGAATAAATTGGATGTTGAAAATTCAACATCCAATACATTTGTTAAATATATACGATTATTACATGCTTATGTTATTTACTTATATTTAATTTTAACGAATATAATAAAAAAACGAATGAAATAAAAGTATTCTTTATTAAAGAATTATTTGAATATTATAACGTACAAATTTTATTGAATAGCTAACGTTTACATATTGTATCACTAAAATGCACTCTAATGCTATTTGAATTGATAACTATAAATAATAACAATGCATAAAGTATGAAACAAAGAAGTATTTAATATAATTATTAATTGATATAATATAATAATATTAAAATATAATAATAAAAAGTACTTTGTGGAAAAATATATTTGAAAAAATAAATTCATTCTTTCTCTCTATTTTTTTTTTTTTAAATAGTCTCTTATTTTTAAAATAGGATGATCCGAAACGAGACTGACTGAGAACCCCATATAGAGACAAAGTCAACCACTATCTTGCTAAGAGAATAGCTTTGAACAGATAACAGGTATTGTTCGAAGGTCAAGTTCTGAACATCCCACGAGGGATAACTCTCTCCCTCTGATTGGCAAATAGAAAAAAAAAGAAAAAAGAAAAAGGATAAGAGAAATACGATGGCGGCGGGCCTTTTGTAGAGGATTCCTCCTGTTGTTTTGTCTTTGGTACGTAGTCTCCAGTACGACGCGCTTGGGATAGAAGCAAACCCATTGAATCGCAAGGGATGCAACTGACAGCTGGAATTGTTATATCCCAACGCTCCGAACGTTTATTCGCAGTTCATTGATCCTCCCTTCTTTCTCCCCAACCCCCACCCCCACGGCCACCCCCACATTACCCCCTTCCTAAAACGCGTCAATTGTTCGACCTTTGCGCTTTCCTCCTTTTACCTTATCTTTACCAGCAGCTATAGTAGCTATAGTCTTCGTTAAAGTTATAATCGAAAAATAAAAATGAACAAAGTTTGATCATTTTATAAATTTTATCGACAAATGTGCGGTGGTCCAATATTAATTCTTTGCATTCTTTCCATAGGCGCCGGACACGATCCAATATACAAATTTTTATATTACAACATTCTCAAACACTACACAACACTCTCTTCTTTATAATTAAGCATAGGAGACTTAAGAAAATTCATTTTTGTAAAGGAGTATGTTATATTATAAAATTGACTGTGGAATAAAAAAGATGAACCCTTTATAAACGTCATTACGACACATCTACTATATAAGTATCAATTATACAACAATGTACTTTATAAAGTACAATTTAGTACTGTATTTCTTTATACACTTAAGTGTATAGAATTAAAAAATTACAATAACTACTGTAAGACCTCTTGTAAAAGGATTCTTGGAGTTTACTGGTAGATTATATTATAAAATTAGTTGTTGAGTGTAATTAATTTTCCATAGGTATTATTACAGCGAATTCATAATATAAAGTATACTCTTATTGTATTAAAAAATTTAATTATTAAATCTTGTACACCTCACACGATACATTTAAATGTACAAAACTTAAGAAATACAAACAAGAAGTAGAATATATATATAAGAACTATAAGATTCTTATAAAAATCTTAGAATTATAAATGAGTATATAACAAAATTCAAATGCAAAAGATTAACACGTTGAGTAACGTAAAGGAACGCCCACCGATAATCGACACTTAACTTCGCAAACTTCATTTAAAATGTTAAGATTTTATTCGTAACATTTTTTTACTAATAATATACTTCCTAATAAAAATAAAATCTATATAGTAAAAAGTATTATAACAAATGCTCACACACTCTTATATCTTTTATCTATAAAAAGCTGTGAAAGGTATTAAAGATGGATAACATCGATTTCTGTTAAATTGATTTGGCGTTCAAAAAAACGTATTAGGAATGTTAAATGTTAATAGAAATATATAATATATGTAAAAAAAAATGTATGAAGGTTTTAAATATTATTTTTGTTCTTTTGCTTCTTAAACAAATTTCTCTATTCAATAGTTCACGATCAATATTTATTCCTCGCTTATAAATAATACATAAATAAAAGCATTATCACGACTATGTACAATTTACAGAATAGGTTTAATAAAAAGAATGTCATTGTAGTCACGGCCATCATCATAGTCAGTAATGAAAGATCGGCTCTTACACATACAGTAATTCAAAAAAGTATTTGAACACTTTCTCTTAGTAAGTGTACTTCATGGTAGTATTTCATGGTAAATGTTCAAATATTTCAGTTCAGTATTCGTGATTTACTGTATATACTATAGGCAGTTCGGAGATTATCAAAAATGCGTTTAGAAAATCTCGTTCCTCAGTTGAGATTTATAATATAATGATCAACATTGATAATCTATTTAGTAATACAATACAAATGGTAGACCTTTGAAAGATTAAAAGAGGATCAATTTGTAAAATAAATTAATTGCCATCGAATTGTCCAAATAATCAGTTAAAGGTCAAGAAAAAAAATCATGACGAATCGAGATATCTTGCGCAATTTAAAGTTCTACGAACTACAATATATACTATTTACATTGTTTGTTTCTTTTTTTTCCTTATTATTCTTCGTGTTGCAATATACTGCACAAATCTTTTAATAACTGTGTCATGTGATTTATCAATGTAATACCGGATATCGTTCCAGATCTAAGTGCTCGGCTGTAACATTGCTTATACAAGTTGGCGAGAATTTCGTATCTGTAAAATAAAAATAGAAAATACATCCATCCACATTTGAGTGACACTTAATAACTAAATACGTTCTAACAAAAAACTTGAAAGAAATTCTACTTGATCAACCTATATATATATATATATACTTACTCTTTTTTATTTGTGGCAGTATTCTTATTAACAAGTAATTTAGATAACGACCGTAGAATAAATTGTAACCTCTGTTCGAGTAAAACAACTAAATTCCCATCGTCTTCAGATAATTTTTGTTCCTCAATAGTTTTCTCATCTTCTGCAGTATTAATAGTATCATCCGTACTATTGGTTTCAAGTGTTTGCTTCGACGTTTTATTCTTTTCACAAAGCATCTCCATGATAGGTCGACACTGTAATATTAACTCCAAACCATTTTGATATGCCTTCAATTTGCCATTAAACGTTGTGGCAACTATTAAGAAAATATATTATTAGATATTTTAAAATATAACAATCAATTGGAAAAAAATAAACGATAAAATTATAATAATTTACTTCGTGCTTGATGTTCAGCCAAGGCTACTCGTTCCATTTGAACTCTCAAAAATTCAGTTGTCTGTTCCAAAGCTAATAACAATTTTGCTGCTTTATCGTAATATAATTTACATAATTGTAAACTGTTTTTCCTTTTCACATTATCTGAATCTGATTCGAATTCTCGGTATATATGATGATATAGCGATGCTAAACGATGTTGAATTATAGCTGCACGAAATTGATAAACTGGTTGTCGTGGTCCTGGTATATCAACATCACAATGTTTAAGAGCCTTCTGTAATATATCGACTACTTCTCTCTCAAGCTCCTCTTCTGTCTATAATTCCATAAAATAAATCTTATATATTTGTTTTTATAAATTAATATTTAATATTTCATTTTTCATTTCTATTTAAACTTAAAATTATATATAAGAGTATTATTATATTAATGGAGATTTATTCAAAGAACAAGAAATACCTTGTGCCCTTGAGAAGGATAATCTTGTAATAATGTGGCCATAGTAAAAAGTGTCGTAGATAAATCCCACGTTATTGTGTCCCATATGGCAGGATTAGATTTTCTAGTGCCTAGAACTTGCAAGGCTTTTTGATAACTCGCAAGTGCTTTGTTGTAAAAATACTGTTCCTGTGTATTGTGTTTAACGTGCATATGCGCACAAATTCGCATGAGTCTACCACTATTCGAATGAAGTAGAGCCAAATTTGCTTCATCGTGAACAGTTTCAAAAGCTTTAACGCCTGCTTCTAAATGATGTAAGGAACAATTAAGAAGAGCAGTAACGTCTGGAGACGATTGAGTCGATTCGTTGGTTGTACTTTCTTGTTTGTATCGTGCTAAATTCACACAAAAAGAAAATGTATTAATTATAAAAGAAAATATTTAGTTTGTTTACAGTTAATAGAAGAAATATAATGTTATTACTTCCTGCTTGGTTCATGTATAAAACACCTAATTCGTTATGAATATTTCCTAATCGTCTTAATAAATTATTCTTTTCAACTTCTAGTGGTTCATAGGACAAGGCTTTTTCATAACACTTGTAAGAAGCAACCAAAGTAAATTCTAAACTTTCAAGATGTTGCGGTAATAATTCTATTCCATCTGAAATTAGACAAATCATTCTGTAAAAAATGTATAAAGGTACAAGAAAATGTTCATTACTGTATAAAATTGTATTTTTATACATACATGTATCTAAATCTTCCAATGCGTATATTTCTTCTATTATTTTCTCTTCGGTTACATTTTTCATATTATAATCCTTTTTATGTTTCTCTATGTTACACCAGTCTTGTACAGTCATAAAACAGCAATCTCCTGCACGACCTAACAGACAACTGACGGATTTGTCATTTCTTATTCCACAACAAACTTCCAATATTTTTTGGCATCGTAATACTGCTAACATGTATCTCAAAGAGGCACCATAATTTTTATTTGCATATTCATTTTCTGCCAAAACAGCAAATATCAACGAGGCCTTTTCATATAAAAGAGTTTTTAAATGTGCATTCCAACTAACGTTATCACTTTTTTTGGGAGCCTGCCAAATAGGTAAAGTTTCGTTTTTTGATTTACATAACCAAGATTTCGTTTCTTTATTGTTAAGAGATCTATCTTCTTTTGTAAAGTATTTCTCGGATTTCTTTTTCTTTTGTTTATTTTTTCTTTTATGACTAGGACTGTTATTTTGTGAAGTTTCTCCAGATTCGCAACTTTTATCTTGATTTAAAGAAACATAAGGCATTGGTATAGCTTGAAAAGGTTTTGCCATGTTTGGATTAGCTTCTTCATATCTTTTTCTCTCGTTTTCACAATCCTCTTTCTTTTTCTGTTCTTCATCTGAACTTTCTTCGGTAGGAAAATATTTTAAACATTCAAGACCATGCGCGACATGCTCTAACGCAGTTAAACACCTTTCTTCTACACTTCCTGTTATCGGTGGCGGTTTGTACTTAGGCCCCTCTTGTTCTACTTGTTCTTTAACTATTAAAGAAATATTTTGTATATATACAAACATCATTTAAAATTTTGATATTACTATGATTTATTAAAAGATACTTACTATTTGCTAATGTTAAGGATTTAATAGATGCACTAGGAGTTTCTTCATCTTCCTCTTTATCATTTTCATGATTTGTACTGCATTCACTCTGTGTATCTTCCTCATCGCTTTGATCGGAAAGTCTTGGACTAACTGGATCCGTACTTGAAGGTACATATAAGTCAGAAAGCATAAAATGTGCAGATGTAACAATTTGTGGATATTTTTCCTTTGCAAGAAGCTGAATACAGTTTTTCAGTAACATTCGAATAGTACCCTGATGTCGATCATAGTCAGAAGAATATTTCATATTTCGAGCTACTCTGTATAACAGCATTGCTACTGGTACAGTAAATGGATTTTGTCCTTTTTCATCGGTAACATCATTACATAATGATGTTAGATCGTATAGTTTTACAACATCATCATCTTTACCTATTGAACATTTAAAAATGAAATAATATATTTTTGTATGAAAATAATTATTTAATAAGAAAAAAAAATGATGCTTACCCTTAAATAACCAATACGTGTGACCAGCTTTAGTTGCATTATTTTTTAAAAAGCTTAATATATTTTGTGCCACATCTCTAATAAGTTTAGGACTGAATTTCGAATCATCCAAATTAGGAAGATCTTCTGTTTTGATAAGTTCATATTTTTGAACTATACCATGCAAATGATAGCACATGACCACTTCAGGAACATTACACATTAAATTATCCAACCAATAATCTATTCCCGTCAATACATTAATAGGTTTAGACATGTCTCTTAATCGTAAACTTATACACGGATGAGTTTGTCCACCAAATATTGGCATATCGGTTCCAATAAGCATTTGTATATTTTCAAAAGTCCATACAACATTTCGTGCAAAATTATGATTATAGTTTGGATCTGGTACTTTTTCTTCTTGTGTTGGTTCGGGCAGGCATTGTTCCAATGGTTTAACAGGTAAAGGAGGTGTTATATTCTGTTCTTTACTATCTGCTAACACAATAGAATGATAGAGAAATTTAGACACTAAATTCCTCTGTTGTAAGCTGTTCCTACTATTTGCTTTATGAAATAGTCGTTTTTCTTTGTCTCCTAAATTTTGAAATATGTGTTCATAAAAAAACTTCTTTAACCATTCCCAGTCGCTTTCTGCTTGACGTAACAAATATTTATGTATATCAAAATCATCTATCAATAATGTATTTTCAATACGGTGTACCATCATTGATATAACTCCATGATTATAAGGTAATTTTAATAATTTCTTTATATTTTCTGCATCTGACACAACGTCGACTTCCCCGACACAATCTGGAAACATATGCGCCATGCGAAAACTTGAAAATCCTGTGTTTTGAGACCATACGCTTTGTAGACCATAACTTTCAGCAGAACTGCTAAGCCAATTGCTCGGTGGAAGATTTAAATTGGTATTACATTGCAATTGAGCAAAAGTGGCAGGKGTTTGAACCGCAGAATATTTCACTATTGCAGTAGACTTGACCAATTTCTTAGGTGAATTTGGTGGTATAACTATAGCCATTGGCTTGATCTGAAATACACGAACAAATTATTTATAAAAATTAATATATTAACATAAAGAATACAATTCACACGAATATAAAACCCTTCTAATCATTATACAATTAACAAAATGTCAAATATATATATACACACATACGTAAAGAAAAACAATCCTATTTATATTAGCTTCAAAAAAACACAATTTACTTCTCGCATGAGATTATTTCAATGATCGTTAGATTACGTATACATATTCATAAATTCTATATTTATAAGATTCTTAAAAATAGCATTAGCAGGAACGAATATAGAATTTAATTAAACGTGTCCACCACAAGGGCCATGCCAAAGAATTAAAGTTATTATAACGAAAAAAAATCTCTCTTTACAAATATTAAATATTATTCATTAAAAATTACATTTACTTAACCATATATAACTTTATTCAATAATTAAGATATTTAATAGAAAATAGATATAATTTTTGCTTACCAAATCAGAACTGATTTCAGAATTATGTGACATCGTGCCATGGAACAATGTCACTTGTGACTTTTAAAAATAGTTACTGTGTTCCAAAACTTCTAGAAGGTGCAAGGTACGACGAAAATCTCTCACTATTCAAATAATACAATTGCAACTGCGTACGGTTACACACAAGTGCGACCTCTAATATGGAAAATCAAAGATAATGTCTAAGAATCTCTACCTTACCAACGAAACATGAAATACCTTTTTACCGATATTTAAAAAAACATTTTATAACTAAAAATCGAGAATAAAAAACATAAGTGCATTTGAACGTATATAGATATAATTTTGTTAATTATATTACAACACCGTAAAACAATTATTATCAACAATTAATTATTATTTCGCATTAGATGATTTTTTTGATTAAAATTTAAATATCTTTCCTAATATTGTTGATATTGCAATTGATATATGCACGTATAAGAAACAAACAAAGAATATCATTTAATTGTAAAATTAAAATATGCATTGAGTATGGCAACACTTGCTATTCGTATACCATAAATGAATAATGTAGATTTCATTTAAAAAATAAGATTGTTCATTATTACGCAACATTTTGTTTTTTTTTAACATCCCCTATTTTGTTTCTCTACTTTTCACGTAATATATATTCTATATTTTCCCTTTCTCTTTCTCTTAGGTTGTAAGTTTTAAAATATCCGCATTATGTAATGTATACGATAGAACAAAAATTGAAAATCTGAGGACACGTTAGTAAAAAAGGAAAGAACAAATAATCGAATGGACGTAAAGAACATTAAGTGCAGATTCATAAAGAGATCGTAACGTAGGAGTAAAATCTGTTTAGTAAACGTTTACATAGTCTTACGTTTTCGCGTTCGACGAATGACTAACGTAATTCTAAGTGTAAGAGAAAGGAGTAGATAAATGGAAAGAGAAATGTTAACAGAAATGTGAAAAGCTTCGCGTGCTCGATAGTAAAAAAAAAAAAAAGTAGCTTCACGTTCGCGTTGTTGAATGGATTAGGAAGCCTCCAAAGTTACATGGCGTCATTGTAACTTCACGAATATGCGTATAAGGTCGATATATAAAGGCTCGTAAGGTAGCACGTTGATCCAGTCAACGAAGAGAAGTAAAAGATCCCTGAGGTTGGTTGATAGCAAAGAAAACAATAAAACAGAAAGAGAAACAAAAAAAAATCGAGATAAAAAAAGATCAAGGAAGAAAATGGTGGTCAATTTCAAAGTGTTTAAGAAGAGTTCGCCAAATGGGAAGATCGCATTGTACGTTGGTAAAAGAGATTTCATCGATTATTTGTCAGGGGTAGAACCGATCGACGGTGTCATTTTATTGGATCAGAATTACGTCGATACTGGTAGAAAGGTATGGGGCCAATTGATATGCAGTTTCCGATATGGTCGAGAAGAGGACGAAGTTATGGGATTAAACTTTCAAAAGGATCTTTACTTGGTCTCCGAACAGTTATATCCTCAAGCAAGCAAGATGGAGTCTAATTTAACAAGACTGCAGGAAAGGTTGTTGCAGAAACTGGGCCCAAACGCCATACCCTTCACCTTCAACTTCCCCCAGAGTGCTCCTTCGAGCGTGACCCTCCAACCAGGCCCCGAAGAGACGGGTGAACCATGCGGCGTAAGTTACTTCGTTAAGATTTATTCCGGCGAAACGGAGACAGACGTTACTCACAAAAGAAGTACAGTCTCCCTCGGAATAAGGAAGATTCAGTATGCGCCTACAAAACAGGGCCGACAACCGTGTACCATCGTACGTAAAGATTTCCTATTGAGTCCTGGGGAACTCGAACTCGAGGTCACGCTCGATAAGCAACTTTATCATCACGGGGAGAGAATAGCGATCAATGTGAGCGTTAGAAACAATAGTAACAAAGTAGTTAAGAAGATAAAAGCATTGGTACAGCAAGGCATTGACGTGGTCATCTTCCAAAATGGTCAATTTCGAACGGTAATCGATGCGGTTGAAACCCAAGACGGTTGCCCGATAAGTCCTGGCTCGAATCTTCAAAAGGTACTCTATCTTAAGCCCGATTTGGAAAACAACAAGCATCGTCGGGGTATTGCCCTGGATGGTCGATTGAAACGCGAGGAAGCTGAATTAGCGTCCAGCACGCTCTTGACCTCGCCCGACGTACGCGATTCTTTCGGCATAGTTGTCTCCTACGCCGTCAAGGTCAAACTTTATCTCGGCGCATTGGGTGGCGAACTCTCCGCGGAATTACCTTTCATATTCATGCGCCCCAAACCAACTGACAGAATCAAACTGGCTACCTCAGATGGCGGTGTACTCGTCGAAAATCTACAAGAGGAAAATATTAACGAAAATTAAATCATATGATTCTTTATTAAATCCGATCTGTACTTTCATTTCTGTACAAAGATCGATCGCAAACGATTACGAACAGTCTAAGATATCTATTTTTTTTATCGAATCCTCGCAAACGACAAATGAAAAAAAAAAATGCGATTGCGTTTATCGAACCGGAAGGTAAAACGTTTATCTAAAGAATCTCAGGATATCTTGACTTATCTATTTCTCTATGATTAATTCGCATCGATAATTCGTTAAATATTATTAACAAAATCGTTAACCAATATAATTATACTCTCCTTAGACTAATCCGCAGAAATAAATAGTATGATAATCCTATATATATATATGCAGAAATATTTATTGTAAAATAAAATATAGACGAAAGTACACATACGCATAAATGTAACGACGAAAAAACGAACAATTACATATATAATCGCATATGTATCTACCGTAGAACGAATTTGAAATAATACAGAACAAAAATTCTATTCATTTTTTTGAACCCTCTTTGTGTTTCCCATGCGACCGTAGCGCAGTTGAACGTTCCCAATGATTCGATGAGAGACACACATCGTTTGCCTTATCGCCAGCCGATAAGTCTCTCGAAAATGAGTCAAGAATCCTTCGTAATGTACGTTTCGAAGTATAAATAAGAAAGAGCGAAAGAGAAGAATCCTCATGATTCTGTGTTTCTTTTCGAGATCATATCATACATATATACTTATGTATATATATATATATATATATATGTAGTAGGCATACTGAAAATATAACGATGACGACGAAGAAGAGAACGTAAAGGTTTCTATCGAGTAGTAAAAGAAGAAGAAGAAGAAGAAGTACATCGTCTGCAGGGCTCGTTCGTTCCTTCGTTCATCGTCTTCGTCGTCGTAAGAACGATCGTAACCAACAAAAGAGGGCTTCTTCATCGAAGCGCGTTATCCTTGATTCGGATAGGAAAAAAAAAAGAAAAAAAAAAGAAAAAATAAGAAGAAGAAGGAAGAGTGGTGGCGAGTAAGAAAAGTGTATAAGCATAGAAAATAAATAAAGAAAGCAAGAACTAAAAAGAGAGAGAGAGAGAGAGATAGATAGAGGCGTGATCGCCATTTGCGAGGCCGAGAAGGCGGCGAGAGCCGACGTCCGAGTTGGCCACATATTATATAGGGTGGCGAAAATGATTCTGATTCGTTTAGTTCGTCGAGTTAGTTTTACTTTGGCACCACCCGATAGATAAATGTTAAACCCAAGAGAGAAAGAGTTAGATAGATAGATAGGGTCGAGAGGGAGAATGAGAGAGAGAAAGAGAGAGAGATGCATTACCGAGGGTGAGGTGACGGTGGTGGGGATAGCCGGCTTGAGCAGCCCAGCTCAGGCAGGGGTCGACCGTGTGCCGGCGCGTCAGTCAGGCTCGAGACACCCGCGTGAACGGTGGGATCGGTGCTTGCCTCCCCTATTTTTGCTCGGTCTCGTACTTATTTCACTTCGATGCGCACCCTTCTATATCGTCCTCCGCCTACGTAAAAAAGAAAGAGAAGCAGTGTCTCAACAGCCAGCCAGTGTCCTTTTAACATAAGGCGCATATCGTTTTCTTCTTCTTCTACTTCTCTCTATCAATCTTTCTCTATCTGTCTGTCTCTTTCTGTCAGTCTATCTATCTTTCTTTCTTTCTCTATTTATCTCCTCTATATATCTTCGTTTTATTACAAATAATATCATTTTATTCGTATTATATACTATTAACTACTTTTTATCTATAATATTCGCGCGTATATTATTATTATTATTATTATTATTATTATTATTCTTTCTCTTATATTTTTCTCTCCCTTATCTCGTCGTCGTCGAGTAAAAAAGTAAAAAAGGGACAGCATAAGAAGAAGAAAAAGAAAAAGAAAAAAAGAGAGAGAAACAACGAGAGGACGAAGGAGACGAAGGAGTAGAGAAGGAGAAAAGGAAAGAAGTAAAAGAGAGGAAGAAGAGGAGGAGGAGGAGGAGAAAGAGGAGGTGGAGAAGAAGGTGGTGAAGAAGAAGGAGGTGGAGGAGGAGATCGACGTTCCAAGTCGGAGCAAGGACGAGGACGACGGCGGCGGCTACGCTACGTTAGCAGCCAAGTGAGTAGCACGTTTCTTCTCTTCTTCTCCACCACCCTCCTCCTCCTCCTCTTCCTCCTCCTCTTTCTTCTTCTTACCTCTTTACTTATTCGTCCTTTATCCTCGTCCTTCTCTTTTCCCTTTCTATCGTCCAATCGTCTCGCGAGTTTCATCGACTCGTTCGCGAACGCACCCTAGGGATAAGTTTCCTCTTTTATTTTGCTTCCATATTTCTTTCTCTCTCTCTCTCTCTCTCACTCTCTCTTTCTTTATTTCTTTCTCTTTTGCTCGTTTGTTCGCTCTCACTGGTGTTCAGTCGTCCCCATTCGCGTTCTCTTTTTAACGTGTTTCTCTTCGATAATCATCGGCGACGTCTTCGACGACGAGGGTCGCGCAAGATCAGAAGAGAAGACTCGACCGAGATATACTATATACGTTTCGTCGTCGTCGTCGTCGTTGTCGTTGTAGTCGTATTTTCTCTCTTCTCTAGTGCCAGACGGTGGCATTGATTTCCTCCTCTCCTCTCCCCATATCTCTCTCTCTCTCTCTCGGCCAACCCTCTCTACATCCACCAATCCTGACGCGCGTTACGCACCCGCCCGCGTACAAATTTCAATTCTGTAAGATAGAACGAGAGAGAGAGAGAGAGAGAGAGAAAGAGATATTGGATCTGTCAGATATATCATCATCGTCATCATCATCATCATCATTATCATCACGTTAAGCTATAAATAAACAGCGTTTTAATTCATTTACAACGATTGCATTTATTTTTTGTTGTTGTTATTGCTATTTTTGGAAGAGAGCTTTTCGAGTTGCTCTTTTTTTTTTTAAGATATGTATATATGTATGTGTGTGTATGGATATGTATATGATATGTTGTGTTAAGAAGGAAGGATTTTTTCTTTTTTTTTTTACAATGCCAACTACGACCGACGACAACCGTTTTTCCCACGATGGTACAATACCGAAAGAGGTAAAGACAGTTATTATAGACGTAATCTCGCCAACGAATCATGCATGTCAAACGAAACGCCATTAAAAACATTACTCGGTCGTTACTATTACTACTACTCGATTCTATTGTCGCTAAAGTGTGCTGTGTTAAACCAAGATTACGAATATATACATACATGTATATAGATATATATATATATGTACTTAATGCTCTCGTCAAAGATTGAAATGGAAATTCTCTCGAGGCTTCTTGCGAACTCAATTTCATGATAAATTACTCTTAAAGTCCTAGATCTACTTGAAAAGGTGAAAGAATTTTCTGCATTTTCTAAATCAACCACGGACGGCGTTGCAACTCGATGCGGGTACAATAATGGCGGATATAAACGAATAATCGTTTAATCGTTTTTATTGTTTTTCCTTCTTCTTTTTTATTTTTAGATTAAAAATTATTGATACTCGTATATGTGTATGTGTGTACACGATGAATTTGTACACGTAATATAAATGACAAAAGATATATAACAAAAATCATTATAATATGTTATATGCATACACATTTACATATTTTTATATGCATACATTATTTTGTGTCTTGATGTTTATTTTTTCTTTTTTGTTTACAGTCACTTTTCTTTAATACCAAATAATTGAAAGTTTTTCTTTTTGATATATTTAATCTTATAACGATACACATCGCTGAAATAAAATGTACGACGACAATTATTACGAATTGTTAATTAATTATATATAAATAATTCTGTATATAAATATTCGATAATTATATATTATTTTGTTAGATTTTGTTTATTATATTTATTCGTTTTTTACAGTCGTAGTTTTCCCAAAACATACAAAATAAAAGATATTTTTTATTCGTACGATTTCGAGGATAAATAAAGAACACAACGATAAAAAATAATTCGTATATTTAGATTCTTTATTATACTCGTGGCACGTAAATGTGATTGTATTATGTTCAGTTAAATATTCAATTTAGTTCTAAGTTTAGATTCGTGATAATATATATATATCCGCGTGGTTGTAAATTGATTGAACGATATGTCTCTTTTTACGATAGATAGTTTAGTTTAATAAGAGTTAGAACTAAGTTAATCGAGTTAGCTAGTCTAGTCTAGCCATTACAATGTGAGAACCAAGCGAAAGGTCTTTTAGAATGCAATTTCGTTTTCTTTTCCAATGTAAACACTCTAACGTAAGAATCGAATCACTGATTTGTGCTTAGAGACCTTCATTTTTCTTTTTCTTTTGACATAAGAAAAATTCAAGTAAGTATTTTGATACGATTAAACTTTTATTTTTATTTTTTTTTTTTAATATATAAAACTAGATAAGATTACAACTTCTATTATTGATTCACTTTTCGTTCTTACTTTTACTAGCTGTAAAAGATTATTTCGCAAAATTTCACCAACGTTATTCTATAAGTAAAAATAAGCAAAAAAAAAAAAAAATAAATAAATAATTAACCGTTCTATAAACGTAGGATTTCTAAATGTTTTATCAATAAATTCTAACAAACAACGGATTGTTTTTTAGAATGCAATCATATCACGTATAGAAATAGATTGTCGATTCAAATTATAATACCGTTTCACAATGTTGTTCGTTTTTATAAATACGGAATTGGTGTCTAATAATAGAATAGAATTTATTACTTTATTCATTTTCTATATTACTTTTTCTCATTGAAGAGAGAAAAAACGTCACGATATGTTGTTATCATTCATTTCTGACACGCGTAATAAATTCTGTTCGATTAACTTTTTCTTTCATTGTTCTCCCCCCCCCCCCCTCCTAAGTAAAAATTTATTGACTTTGTATCTGGTGATCTTGAGCTGAAGAGAAATTAATTTTCATCGATGATCATTTCATTATTTTCCGTATAAAATTTTCGCGTTAATGTGATTGATATATAAATAATTATTACGAATGTTATTAAAATATATAATCACACCCACGATATTGGTTACATTGATACGTCTAGGATAATGATACTTGAAAGTTTGTTTAATTGTAAGTAAAAAAAAAAATCAAATCAAATCAAAGAAGAAAAGTTGAAGTATAATTTTGAGACGATGCATATACTAACTAAATTCATTGTGTACATATACTACACACATATATATATATATGCATATATTAGCGCACGTTGAATGTGTCCCTCGAAAGTGTCACCATCGACCACTGTCCTAGTTACTTTCTTACGGCTTCTATTACCAGTTAAAACTCTCCACGTGCCTAACTTGAGAGCGAATAAGAAAATAAGAGAAACGATATCCGTTGTGTGTGTCGTCGTCGTGCCTTGTGTCCATCAGTGTCATCACCTTGTGTTCTTTTCTCTGGGTTTCTTCTTTCGAAGCATTTTTTTCATCTTGTGTACGTACACCCACTGACCACTTACAATAAAACAAACCAAAATAACCGATCTTTCTTTTTTTAAATCTTCCCTAGCGAGAATTTATTTTCTTTTTTTTCTTTTCTTTTCTTTTCTTTTCTCTTTTTTTAGTTAACACGATCTATCGAAAATAAATTATTACTATGTAATATTAAATGACTCTCTTTTAACGTTGATAGATATGAAATAAAAAAATAATACTTGTAAACGTATATTAGAGTTTGGATTGATAATGTTGCATAAAATATTTAAATGAAAAGAAATTACAAATTGAAATATTGATTTAATCATCATTGATTAAATTAAAATCAATACATCAATTTACGATACGATTGTAGAAATGTGAATTTCGTAAAAAATTCACAATAATTCTTAGAAACATCGATGTTGAGTGTTTTTCCCTTACGTCATATCCTTAGAAAAACACTTTCAAATGGAAATCAAGTTAAGCTTCGTTTTCTTTCTTCGTTTTTCTTTTTCTTGAACGTGTCAAAGCTTATCTTCGAGTACGACGAATATTTATGGCAAGCACGTTTTACATACTCACAATTAGTATATAATACTACTAATAATATACTTACATAAAGAGTACTATTCGTATATACATAGTTTTTTTTTTTCTTTTTCTGCAACAACGAAACTCATGCTTTCGTGAATACTGCGCGTGCTGAAAACGTAGTTCGGTCTGGCCGAAGTTGTAGGGTGTAGCCCGTCCGGATTCTATCGAATACCCGAACTACAACCCCCCCCAAACCCCCGAAACCCCTTCACCCCGTATCCCACCTCTACGCCCTATTCGTTTCTCTCTTACACACATACGTTTGTTCGTTCTATCTACCTGTTCTTTTCTATCCTTCTCGAACCCTCGTTTTCTCCTGTATTATCTTCGTCCTGTTTTTTTTTTTTGCGTACTATCTTCTCCTCGAATATTATCTTTGGTGTTACCGTAAATATTCGATGCTTTTTAAAAGAAATTCTTAGTGTGAACAAAATTGTTGCAACATTTGTTACGTGAGTTTTATAAATGTTTCAAATTCGTATATATGTTTAATGGTTGAAAGAAAGAAAAAGAGAGATAGTGTGTATGTGTATATGTGTGAGTGAGAATATATATTACCTTCGATACGTGCTCTATCTACGAATAGGCTTTTTAAAATAATGTATAGATATATAGTATGTTACATTTGAAATGGATCTACTTTGAACAGCATCATTTTTCTTTTCGTTCGTATATAACTAATATGTATGTGATCATAATTTTGATTCCAAGAGGAAGTGAAAAGTTTTGGTAAATATTTTTTATACTAAAAGTAAATAGATTTTAATGAAACTTATATTAAATTAAAGTACACTCTTTTGTCTACACGTAGAATACCATATCGAATTATAAATCCATCTGCAAAGGTTTA